TACCTAGAGGACCTCGACTATCAGATGGAATCTATTTACATGCCTGTTAACATCTCAGAGCCTCCTGGAATTGCCTTGAATGAGGCAAATCTGGAATGCACCTCAAAATTCACCTACCTGGGAAGCATAGTTACATCAGACGGGCGGGCGAGCAGACAATGACATCAGAGCAAGAATTGGTAAAGCTAGAAATGCTTAAAGTTACGTAACATATGGAAGTCTAGCAACATCAGCAAGAACACCAACGTTAGACTATACAATAGCTGTGTACTATCAGTTCTCCTGTATGGGGCCGAATGCTGGAGAATGACAGAAAAAGACATCAACAAGCTCTCCAGTTTCCATAATGGATGCCTCAGAAAGATCATGAGGATTTTTTGACCGTGTAAAATCATGAACAGCAACCTCCATAAAACAACAGGATCTAGCAACGTGGAGACACTACTGAAACAACAGCGATGAAGATGGATTGGCCATATTCTGCGTAGACCACCTGAGAACATGACCAGAGTTGCTCTAAGATGGACACCAGAGGAAAAAAGAAAACAAGGGCGCCCAAAAACAACCTGGCGAAGAATAATTGAAGCTGAAATGAAAGGGCAAGGAATCAGCTTGGGCATCATTGAAAAGACAGCACAGAATAGAGAGGATTGGAAGAAACTAGACCTTGCCCTATGTGTCTCCGGTGTCATGCATAAAATGTACCTCCTGCTTAAATAGTATTCGGATACTTTTTATGCAGAATACCCCTACCAAAAAGTACCCCCCTATGAAAAATAAAAAAAATGTTTATTTTTTATTTTTCATAGGGGAGTACTTTTTGGTCAGGGTATAAAAAGTATCCGGGGGGTACATTTTGGTCGGGTGTATAAAAAGTATCCGGGGGGTGGGGAATTGAATATAGGTTGGGTAATGACTATAACATAACTGTAAATGTTTCTACTTGACTCCCCAAACGTAATTGTGTCCAGCGATTGAAAAATATTTTGGCATCATTTCCTGGCCCCGGGGGTGGGGATTGGTGGGGTAGGGGGGGATTAATATTCCCCTGTGATGTCCTGTTCAAGTTCTGAACTCATTGTATAAAAAACCCCAGAAATATGAGATTTTTCTTAGGGGGGTACTTTTTGGTCAGGGTATAAAAAGTATCCGGGGGTACATTTTGGTCGGGTGTATAAAAAGGATCTGGGGGGGTGGGGAGTTGAATATAGGTTGGGGAATGACTATAACATAACTGTAAATGTTTTTACATGACTCCCAAATCCTTGTTGTGTACAGCGATTAAAAATAATTTTGGCATAATTTCCTGGCCCCGGGGGTGGGGATTGTTGGGGTAGGGGTGGATAAATATTCCCCTGTAATGTCCTGTTGAAGTCCTGAACTTAATTGGTTTGAAAATAGATAAATATTTTTTTTTTTCACAAGGGGGGTACTTTTTATGCAGGTATAAAAAGTATCCGGATACTTTTTGGTAGGGGGGTACTTTTTATGCATGACACCGGGCATAATAAGGACTAGTAAATAAGTAAATGACTTCCTCTCAATAAGCAAAAGTCCAAGGGTGATGATATTTAGCCATACACATGCATGGATAAAGGACTATCAAGTTTGTTCAAATGAATTATCTTCGCCCATATTCAAGGTCACAGGGGTCAAATATATTTAAACCTTTATACAACTTCTTCTGAATAACCAAGAGGCCTAGGATAATGAAATTTGGCCAGAAATATGCTGGGATAAAGGGCTACCAAGTTTGTTCAAAAGAATGACCTTGACATATATTCAAGGTCACAGGGGTCAAATATGTTTAAAACCTTAAAACGACTTCCTCTCAATAAGCAAAAGTCCAAGGGTGATGATATTTAGCCATAAACATGCATGGATAAAGGACTACCAAGTTTGTTCAAATGAATGACCTTCACCCATATTCAAGGTCACAGTGGTCAATATATGTTTAAATCTTTAAATGGCTTGTTCTGTAAAACCAAAAGGTCCAGGGTAATTATATTTTGCCAGAAGCATGCTGGGTTGGAAGACTATAAACTCTGTTCAACCTAATGTCTTTGTTCGACATTCAAGGTCACAGGCGTCATATATTTAAATCTTACAATAGGTTCTTATGTAAATACTGATATTCTGCCTGTAGCTGTATTTTAGTCCACTTTTAAGAATACAAGTGTGAGATTAATACCAGGTGAGTGATTCAGGCCCATTGGGCCTCTCGTTTATTGTTTGTGTCATTAATCAATATTTTAATGTATACAGACAATCTGAAAGCAAATTTTATTACTTTTTCCTATTTGACACGAAAAAGTGTGAAAAATTATGATAATTGTTTCCAAGATGTCATCATCAATCTGTTGTCTCCAGTTTGAGAACGATAATCTAATTGGAGATCTCTCCAATTAGCTCCAAGGGACCTTTGACAGGTGCTATATAGCAATTTAAATTTGCAGGGTCAATATTTCGCGGTTTCGTATTCAGTACATATTCCCGGGGGTTGAATTTCACTGTCTACCTGAATTCCATGTGACGTGTAAAGTATTTTAAGTGTCATCATTTAAGGGTTAAACCTCGAAATACAGGTAAACCATTTGAAAACACTGATCCCGAGCGTCATCATCCGCCAGTGGCTTCACTTGAAAGAAAATCAAATGTGTATGTACCTTTGTTGGAATAAACTGTAATCAATTAATCACCTACTGTGTACACATTAACATGTTGTAGCCACTCACATGTAAGTGTTGTTTTTACATGGTAGTATTCAGATTTGAGTTCAGTTAAGCTTGCATTACAGTGTTTGGTTATAACTATTTTCAACATGTTGTGATGTGCGAAAATAGTAGAATTAAAAATTCTGTGAAATGTAACCACTATACAGTACCTAATATAAATAATCGTGCCATCATTGCTACCTTTTCTCTAGTTTCACCATCGTGACCCTCACCTGATTGGCTTGCTCACCAGTAAGATGATTCCATCCGACAGGAAGGTGTTCTATGGACTTATTGCTGATGGCATTCACACACATCCCGCAGCCCTTAGAATCGCACACAGGGTCGATCCCAAAGGTCAGTTTCAAACAATTTACCTTTTCAAGAGAATGATATCTGTTTTTAATTAAATCTTATTTCAAATGAAATTTAATGCTAATGATCAGACAAATTTTTAAAAAATTTAAGCCGGATTGAAATCTATTATGGCAGCCATTTGAAAAATTAATTTTAAACTAAAACTCGTATTTCGCTTAAATCATTTTGCAGTTCAAAAGAAATTACTTGAGTATGGTCCGGACCAATTATTGTTATTTTGGAGCCAAGTTGAAATCATTTATGGCAGCCATTTTGAAACTCTTATTTGAACTTAAACAAAACTAAATTTACTAATGTTTTATCAACAAACCTATGAACAGAAATGACCTTGACCTACTTTCAAGGTAACATAGGTCAAATATGTCAAAAACTTCAAACAACATCTTCTGAAGAACCAGAAGCATAGAGTCATAATATTTGGCTGAGATGAAGCCCAACAAAGTTTGCAAATGAAAATGACCTCAGTCTACTTTTGCCTTTTGAATATCTGAAAATCATAGAGTCATGTTATTTAGCAGGAAACTTCTTGAGATCTTCTGAAGAGCTAAAAGGCATGGAATCTTAAAATTTGGTTGGTAGATTCTTAGGATGGAGCCCGGCAAAATTCGAAAAAAGAAACTGACCTTGACCTACATTCAAGGTCAAAGGAGTCTAATATGTCAAACACTTCAAACAACTTCTTTTGAAGAACTGAAAGGCATAGAGTCATGATGATTTAGCAAGTAGCTTTCTGAGATGGAGCCCAACAAAGTTTATATCTATACTGTAGTTTTTATAAGGCTAATTAAGTATATTTGACCTTGGTCCACTTTTATGCTATAAAGAGTGAGAATAATAGCAGGTGAGCTATGCAGGCCCATTGGGCCTAGTGTAAACTTTGTATGTGATTCCTGGAAGATTTGCATTTGTAGCAAAGATCTGTCCTACATGTCCTAAACTGAATGTGGGGAAGACACGAATGCTTTCTTCTTCTGAATATAGGGAGATATATTAGAGGGGGACCTGTTTGTCTGCCTCCCAAACACACACCTGCCCACATTGTAAACCTTTATATTAATGAAAATTGTTTCTTATCAAATATCAAGCAGTACAAATCAGCACGTTAAATGGAAATACTATTGCAAATGGTTTTTGTTTTTTAGATTATTACTGCATGCATATGTTATACCAAAATGTTACGATTATTCAATGTTTTGTTTATGTTCAAACAGTTGCCATACCACAAGTTTTGCCATATGGAAGACTAGGGTCACATTTGCATATTCGCGTCCACTAAATTACATAAAGTATCCTAAAATATATATGTGAATTGACTTTATAAAGAAATTTCAGTCAGGCACTTCTTGACCCTTGATATTCCTGAGGTCAGCCTCAGTTCAGATCTGAGCCTGCCATTTTCTTTTCAGGCTCAGCTGACTGGATATGCAAAAGGGGCCTAGCTTAGTATAATATTCCTTTTCAATGAGTCAATACAGAACTCAATATAGGATTCACTTAATGTATGTGTAATTTATATTTTAAATTATCAACAACATGTTTTCATAATTTTATAAAATACTAGTTATACAGCTTCTTGCCAACAGGATTTTATGCTTCTACTACGTTTTGTAGGGGATGTTATGTTTTTGCCTTTTACTAAATGATATTTTGGATGGATTTCATTTTTAGTTCATTACTGTAATGCTAGTCAAATTCATATGTAGGTACACCTGAGATGTACTACACTGATATATGTAGGTCACTGTGACCTATATTTTCCACTGCACTGACTTTGATTTTGAGTTCCTTTTCTTTGGTTAGATTTTATGGTTATGAGACTTGTTTTAAAACAAACACTTTCTAGTTTAATGTTATGTATAGGAATGAAGCATTTCATAGGAAAACATTGAGGTTTTGTTAATCTTACAGGGTTAGTACTTGTGACGGACGCTATACCAGCCATGGGACTGCTGGCTGGCAAACACAACATAGGATCACAGATGGTGGAGATCAAGGGCAAACGTGCTGTCATAGCAGGCACCAATACACTATGTGGAAGGTAAATCATAGCAGGCACCAATACACTATGTGGAAGGTAAATCATAGCAGGCACCAATACACTATGTGGAAGGTAAATCATAGCAGGCACCAATACACTATGTGGAAGGTAAATCATAGCAGGCACCAATAC